AGATGGTATGGACATGTAATAAGACAATATGAAAGTGAGCTGGTTAGAGACATTATAGAATGAAGAGATCACAAAGAAGATATAGAATGGTAGACATTGCAGAGAAGATGAGGAAAGCAAGGCTAAGATGGTATGGACATGTAATAAGACAATATGAAAGTGAGCTGGTTAGAGACATTATAGAATGAAGAGATCACAAAGAAGATATAGAATGGTAGACATTGCAGAGAAGATGAGGAAAGCAAGGCTAAGATGGTATGGACATGTAATAAGACAATATGAAAGTGAGCTGGTTAGAGACATTATAGAATGAAGAGATCACAAAGAAGATATAGAATGGTAGACATTGCAGAGAAGATGAGGAAAGCAAGGCTAAGATGGTATGGACATGTAATAAGACAATATGAAAGTGAGCTGGTTAGAGACATTATAGAATGAAGAGATCACAAAGAAGATATAGAATGGTAGACATTGCAGAGAAGATGAGGAAAGCAAGGCTAAGATGGTATGGACATGTAATAAGACAATATGAAAGTGAGCTGGTTAGAGACATTATAGAATGAAGAGATCACAAAGAAGATATAGAATGGTAGACATTGCAGAGAAGATGAGGAAAGCAAGGCTAAGATGGTATGGACATGTAATAAGACAATATGAAAGTGAGCTGGTTAGAGACATTATAGAATGAAGAGATCACAAAGAAGATATAGAATGGTAGACATTACAGAGAAGATGAGGGAAGCGAGGCTAAGATGGTATGGACATGTAATAAGAAGATATGAAAGTGAGATGGTTAGAATAATTGTGGAATGAAGTGAATCAGAAGATGTAGAGTGGTACACAATGCAGAGGATGCGTAGGACGCAAAGCTAAGATGGTATAGACATATGATACAAGAGATGGATAGCTAGCCCAATGAAGGGATTAGAGAATCTCGGGTGGTAAACATTGCAGAAATGAGGGAATTAAGCATTAGGCCGAGGTAGTATGGACAAAAATAAGAAAAAATGAAAGAGAGCCACCAGAGTCATTATGGAATAAAGAGATCAGAAACAGATGTGTGGAGGTGGACATTGTTGAGGAGAGAAGTGAAGAAGAGCTGGTCAAAGACATAATGAAGAGATCAGAAGAAGATGTGGAGTGGTAGACATCGTTGGGGAGATGGAAACAACACTGGCATGGCATGGCAAGACATAATGGAATGAAGAGATGAGGTAGATGAGGTAGAAAGAAAAGATGAACAAGAACTGGTCAGAGATATCATGGAATGAAGAAGTTATGGGGTGGTAGATATTGCAAAACAGGTGAGGGCAGTGGTGTAACTTTACTTTTTTGACCACTTGCCCTCAGGGCAAGTTGGACATGAAAATTATTTGCTCTGAATAAAATTCACTTGTCATCAGACAATGACCACTACTGGGTACCTACTGTATGAGTAGGTAGGGGTATTAATTAAGGGGACAACATGTCGACCCGTTCTCCCACTGCTCTATATGGCTATATGTTATACTGCCTCAGATGTAGCTTCGGCCCACAAGAAAAATGAATCGAGTACATGCACTATAAAAAATGTATCCAACAATGAAAACATAAACTTACAGATGCCCAGCTTTTTGTGGCAAGGCAACTTGCCCAATTGGGCAAGCAAGATAAAACGTTTACTTGCCTGTCGTGATATTCACTTGCTGCAGGTAAATGTTAAGTTTGAGATGGTATGGAAATTTAGTAAGAAAGGGGGAGCTGGAGTTTCTGATGGAAAATGGAGGTTTATCTGGAGGCAATGGATTGTGGGTTGAGTTCACTGATGTTTACACACTTACATCAAATGTATGACAATCCCTCAAATATTCTCCTTTGAATCGCAGCCTGAACTGATGTTGACTCTTGCCCAGTTCATACAAGATGTGCAGTAGATAAGCTCTGGCTCTTGCAATTGTATCATAAGGGTTGCACACCAGAGTGAATGTCTTGAACTGAATAAGCAAATAAGACCCAGGGTAAGGACTAAGGATAGCTAGATCACCCTACTATAACACTTGATTACAGTACAATAAAACAACCTTTCCAGTTCACTTTTTATACACTTAACTCTGATTCTCCATCAGTGGCGTAACGTTATATGGGGGGGGGCATTCAAAATTTTCGAAGCCCCCCCCCCCAGTAGAAGTGCCAAAGGCACGAGTTGAGCGCCGTATATGCAAAAATTTTCTAGGGGTCCAGGGCATGCTCACCCGGAAAATTTTTGAATCTAGACTCTCTGAAGTGCCATTTCCCGGACTTTGGGGAGAGATTTTACAGAATTCTGATGGTCAGAAAATGACATTGTAACATATCAGAGGCCTCTGTGGCCGATGTTTTTGCTCTACAGCCTGAGGGCCCCCATTTGGGTTGGCTCATGTACGAGCCTCTAGTCCTGGACTAGGGTACATTTTGATTTACGTTGGACAAAGCTACAGTTCGGTTCGGCACCCAATACACTAGGGTCGGACAAACAATAAACCTCAGTTTCACTTAGATCCAACAGAATGTCTGGTGGTTTCCTCTCTACGTCGGACAATTTCACGAATGGATCGGACAATGTCCGTGACTGACCGATATATTAAGGCCTGTATCTGGGTGATAATACATCCTGACAGATGATCCATGCTTGGTGTAACCGGGCAACTTTATACATGCTAGCCGAAGTTCTGCAGAACACCAAGCTACCACAATTGAGCCCTCAGCAAATTCTAAACATTAATTTAACATGTACTGCTCCAACATATGTCTGCATTTTGCTGGCAGGCTTGATTACTGATCTTGATTGCATAAATTCCACAATAGATATAACAAAACGGGTACTCTCTCCTGGGTGCTTTTGGGATAGTTTTGCTTGCCAGGAAAACGTAAACCAGGCAACCAGGCAAGTCTATGTAGCATTTTTATAGAAAGTGGAATAAAAATCTACTTCACCTGAAACAACTTGCTTTCCACGTAGATCAACATGTTACATTCAAATCCACACAATCTTATCTTTTACAGATTTTACAATCATATTACTTCGCTTTTTCTACATATAACTACATTTTTCTGTTGCTACGGTCTTTGTTTACATTTCAACATAAATTGGATCGCTCAAAAAGCGATCAGATGAAATCGGAACGAAACATCTTGTGGCCACCCAATTTGGGCCATTCCATTTAATTTACCTATGAATTAGAAAGGTCAATAAAATTATTTGAACCCCTAAGAAAAAAAGATCACTTAGCAACTCACCGACACAAACACCCCCCAGAAATTAAGAAATTTTTGCCTTGCCCGATGCACACAACCCCTCAGAAATGGCTTTTTTAACGGCAATTGCTAGATCGTATACTTCAAAATAAGGTTTCCGTTTTTATATCAATTTTTAAAATAAGTTAGGGTTAGGTTAGGGTTTAGGTTAGGGTTAGGTTAAGGTTAGGGTGAGGGATAGTATTAGGGTTAGGGTTTAGTTTTGAGTTAGGATAGTTTTTTCTACGTTATAAAAACGGAAACCTTATTTTGAAGTATACTATCTAGCGATCACCCTTTTTTAACCCCCTCAGAAATTCTCGTCCACAGGGGGGTGTGTACATTATTAAACCATTTTAATTAATTATTAAACCATGGTAATTTAATACCACTACCTCACCGATGGGAAGTACACAGAAATCCAAACCTTTGGCTATAAAATAAAGGGTAAGCACCGTTTTTTTATTATTCTGGAACAAAACGAATACTAAATACAACTCGTGTTTTATACTATGTTTATTAGAGACCTTTAGATTGATGTTTACGGCAAACGTCAAACCGCTAGTGAGGTTTTTGATTTTACAACTCTATTATAATAGCTTTTACACTAAATTACACCAGTTTTGAAATATGTTAAACTTATTAAACTTGTGCTCTTTAGCAATGATTTAAGAAAGCAAATTAACCACTAGTCATGCCATTCACCAAAGCAGTAAATTAAGATTTGGCGTTTGAAGTTGACGTTTGGCGTATAAATTTCATGCTTGAACTGCTACGAGGGCTTGTAGTCGTTAAAACATGAAATTTATACGCCAAACATCAACTTCAAACGCCAAATCTTAATTTACTGCTTTGGTGAATGGCATGACTAGTGGTTAGGGACCGGTCATTATTTATGAAAGGGGGGGAGGGGAATTTTTTCTTTCCAAAATTTTTTAAATTGAAAGCCCCCCCTTAAGAGAGCAGAAATTTAATGATGACCCCCCTGCATATTAGAATTTTTTTGTTGGATCCCCCCTCCCCCATTTTCATTTTTACTTGTCAAATGGGAATACCCAGGCGTTATAGTGTTACTTATTAAATAAGAATATGGAACTGACCACTCAGATATTAATGTTGACCAAAAATATATATTAGCAGAAAATTATAATTAAAAGAGGAGTATTTTTATATATAACACTAAAATCAGGTTTCCATTTGGTCTGGATGATTGTTTAACGGCAGAGTATTAAAGATGATGTCCACTCCGTTCTGCACATCAGTTCTGCTCATAACAAAGGGGGACCCCCAGATATAAACATTGCCCAAATTTTGCATCTTTAACCGTTATAATATTTTAAAATAACAAAATTATTCAAAAAATATTAACAATATATGTAAAAAATATATCTCACTTGTTAATAGAATTCATTTGTTGTGTTTCTGAGTCTAGTTGATGCAATTGCTTTCCGTTTTTGTTGTAAAATCAAAAACTTCGCTAGCGGTTTGACGTTTGCGGTAAACGTCAATCTAAATGTCTCTATTAGAGATAATAATATAATATATACAATTAATAACATAATAATATAATATATATAATAATGATAATAATATAATATATATAATAGGTTTTGTTTGTGGAAACACCACGTAAATTTATTACTGCAAAGCTTTCGATCCGTAAGCCCGGATCTTCATCAGTGCTAATAATATGAGATCTTCATGAGCCCGGATCTTCATCAGTGCTTCATATTATTAGCACTGATGAAGATCCGGGCTTACGGATCGAAAGCTTTGCAGTTGTAATAAATTTACGTGGTGTTTCCACAAACAAAACCTATTATATTTTATCACCATGCAAACATACAAAGAACTTATAATATATATAATAATATATACAATTATGGGGACGGCTCGTGAGCTCTTCTCGAGCAGAACGTTCTTTCTGTGTCTTAATTGTTGTATGCAGAAGAGAATGATGCAGCCTGCATTAAGTTGACTTTCCAGTTTTGAATTTACTTTTGAGTTTGAAAACAAATTAAAGATGCGGTACAGTCCGATCTGTGCATGTGCACAAAAGAGCCCTCTGTTTATTTACAAACAGTTTATTTAGGTTTTTATTTCATTTTATGTTCTTGCAAAGCTTGATTGTTGTCTCTTGACAATTTATTATACTCTAGAATCATGAAAATATAAATAGTTGTGGAATAAAATTCAATATTTTGGATACCGAAATGTAAACAAAGCCTTTGTTTACATATGGACTGTACAGCATCTTTAAGGTTCCAAATAAAAGGGGAAAAAGCATGTTCGAACATACACTGATATCCATACAGAAGCCCAGAGGCGACAGCATTTTTTATTTTATTTATAATTTCTCATCCCCCTGCCCGCATTGTTTTTTGGGCAGCCTCCTCGATGGCCAATAATACCATTTTTGCCATTGGGTCATCCCAGAAAAGATCCACACTTCCCCCACGGAGGAAATTTCTGCTGTCCGGAGGGGGAGGGGAGACAAAATTGTTTGTGATAATAGTAAATGAATTAGGACATCCGAAGGTGGTAGGGGGGTTAACTTCCAATTTCCTCCGTGGGGGTGGTATGGATGTTTTCTGGAATTACCCATTATCAAATCAATTTTTACACATTCATATGCAAAATACCATCTCTTTCCTGCCTTAGATGCTTTTTCGAAGACCAAATAGCGACACATTGCTTTACGTTTCAATATCGGACCGGAAATCAATGAATTTTTTAAATTAAACAGAAAATTGTACGAGCGTTCACAAAGAAGACACTGTATGTAATTAGAATAGTGGTAATTGCTGCCCGCCCGCATCAACTTTGGGGACAGCCCTGGATGAGAAATTAATATGCACCAAATACTGGCCTAAAACTACTTTTGTATTTTACATTTTTGTGTTTTATATTTTGTATTTTTGTGTTTTATATTTTGTATTCTGTGTTTTATATTTTGTATGTTTGTGTTTTATATTTTGTATTTTTGTGTTTTTGGACTTTTTGCTGTGGAGCGAGTGAGCCTGAAGCGAGCGAGCGAAGCAGCAGCCTAATTTGTGCAGTAGGCAGTAAAAAAGCAGATTTTTAGCGTCGCATGGAATAATTTGTGGTTGTGCGCATTTGTATGCGCTGTTTTCATAAATCCGTCTCACCTCACTACACATGCGCAATCAGCTCAAATTTATCTCAAATTTATGATATTTTTTATTGATTTTCAACCACAGATTGGGTTATACAACTAAACAGCAAGTAAAAGGTACGAGATATCAACCGATATTCTGTTTTTCAATAAGCACAAGATTGGCAGTTGTTTGTTGTTTTGCCTGATTTTTTGGTGTAATTTGTTTCACTATATTATACACCCTGTAATATTAGCGCATTTGGTGGCTGGAGATTTGGTTTATCATTTTGTGCGACGTGTAACAGACAGTATTGCATGTGGCGTGTTTGAAGTATATTGTTTATTGTTTTGCTTGCTTCGATTTATAAACTATTTTTAATCAGTTTAAGGTTTTAAGATAGAAAAAAGACCAATTTACACGTTGTTACTGTTTCATTTTTAAAGTTCGTCCAATTTTATCACAACCTTCTAAGCGTTTTAAAAGAAAGCCAGAAAGTATAGTAATAATATTTTGTCGTGTCAATATTTGTAAGCCATAAGGCATGATCATTTTTTCTCAAGGGTGCATGGGTTGACTACAAAATGTTTGTAGTTCGCTATATTATAGCGAACTACAAAAATTTTCAGGTAGTCAACCCACCCTTGATCAAAAATGATCATGCCTTAAACTACAGCTATACTTCAAAAATATGTAGTCAGCTACAACTACTGGAGTACTGCTACTTTTGAACAAAGATAGTTCGCCACTGAGTACAGCTACTGCATGCTTAAAATGTAGCGAACTATTTCGCTACACGCTATATTTTTTAGTTTTACTGTATTTGGAGGAATTGGAGCATATGACTACTAACTCAGGCTGTAATGTATAACCCATAACAAATCGACTTACGAGTATAGCAATTACAGTAAACACAAAGCAACATTTTTGTAAGCACTACAGTGTTCGGGAGTGCAAATTGACTATTGAGGATTGATTTTAAGCAAACCGTTGTCTCGATATTTTGCTATTCTATCAAGTTCTAGAATTTTAAAAAGTAGCGAATAGCGATTCGCTGTTTGAAAAGTAGTCAACTACAGGGCTGCAAATAAATATTTGACTTGACAGGACATTTGTCCGATCACTTTTAATTTTGGTCGGACATAACTTGAATTTGGTCGGACAAAAACCAACACCACTAAATTAAGATATATATAGGCTAAGTTACAAGACAAGTATGTATAGCCATTCCGGCGCAACGTGAAAGTATAAAATGCTAGAATGCCTCGTAAATTTTATTGCAAAATGCAAATTGAGTGAATTTGCAATCGAATTTTGTCACAGCAAAAAAATGTATAATGTGACAATTTTTTTTGTGATCTGACCAATGTCCGTTCAAAATTACTTTTGCTCGGACATTTGCCAAATTTAGTCGGACATTGTCCGATGTCCGACAGTAATTTGCAGCCCTGGTCAACTACTTGGCTATTTTTAGGCAAAATGTAGTTCGCTATAAATACAGCTACTGTTTTAAAAAAGCAGTCAAAAACTACTGGCTACTTGAAAATTGTAGTTCGCTGCAGTAGCGAACTACAACTACTTCGCTACTACCCATGCACCCTTGTTTTTAATAACAGCTAGATAGTACATCATAATCAGCCGAGAGCAGTTTTAGTGTAAACTATTTCTAGTATTTAACATATAAAGCGTGGGCTTTAGTTTAATGTTATCCGTAAGATTGTGCATTTTACAGTCTATTAATTCAAAAAACTTGCGCGTCGGGAACAAAATTCTATAGACGCTAATGTCTAATTAGTGAAATTAATAAAATTACATGTTATTAAAATCACATATGTGCACAGCGCTGTTATAATCTATAATATATCATAAGCATAAATTATTTAAGACAACTGATTCGCATTGTATACAGTAGCGAATGCGCTTTCCAACAAGCACACTAATATCCCCGTCTTATCAGTTCTGGATTCTCCGATTCCCCATTCCCTGTTTTAAAGATAAAACATCAAAAACGCGGGATGATACACTCACAAGACAAAAGTTAATTTTATATGTAATTCTACTTTGTCTTGAAACCATGGTTTTCAAAATTTTCTGTGAAACACGCCATTGTCTTCCCCTCATCCGGGTCCTTCTTTATTTTACACAATTGGAAGAAAAAGTGAAAAACCCTCATGTCAGTCATTCCATGCCATTAATTAAATATCAGAACAGTATTAAAAGTGACATTTAAAATATGCACAACATATGCCGTTCCCACTCATTTTTGACCAGCAACCTTGGCAGACCTGTGTACTTAACATGTGTATACATTATTTCAGGCTTACTGTCGAAATGTTTCAAAATCTCCTGAACAAACGGTATATACGTGTCCTTCTTATCTTCGCAACGATCGTTCTCATTGTTGTGGGCTATAATTTTTATAATATCAACGTGTTAAGTATGTACTATACCCAAAATGAGAATCCTTTATCTTGGGATGGAGTTCCAACGCACAAAGACACGTTGGTCGATTGGAAACAGGTCAATCAAATGAGGAAACTGCCAAAGTCTGTGGATTGGTCGAAAATAAAAAGAAGAACACCACCAAGCAAGGAGGATATGCATGATAAATGGATCGTGGTGACCTCAATTGCTGCTCCAACGAGTGATGTCAAGTTGCTCTCCCAGATTGCAGGATGGAAACTTTTAGTTGTTGGAGATAAAAAGACACCAAAATCTTGGAGGTACTTTTAAACTCCAAAATAATGTAGTAGTATATCTAAGAGTTATTTTGCTGCCCCCACCATAGCCCGCGTGCAGGCCCAAGGGAAGAATAGTGGGCCTGCAAGCAAGGCCCGGTATTTTGTACTTTCCGCGTTCGCCCACGAACGCGGCATTCTGATTGGCTGTTTGCTGTTGGATTCTATAATTAGATCACTGATTCATCACAAAGGCTCTTGATAAGCTTAAATTCGAAAATTGATCACTTTTTTCGATTATAAATGCAACAAGAACAGACTGTTTATTGTTTACTTGAAGGATGAGATGTTTTTGCCGCCACTCAGCACAGCATTTCTACATTGGTACTACCTACACTGGTACAGACAGATTTAGTAAATTGCCCACATTTGTATGCATGGCCGAACATCCAAACAATACCTTCATACACAACAATAAAGAGACTTTTTTATTACTGTTAATTATTACATGCTTGTTTGGATTCTCATTTATATGAGTTTTAAACAATAGAAACTAATTATGGTACCTCGGTGATCATACTACAGGGTGAGTAAATAAAAAACTGACACCTTTGTTATTCAAATTAGCCGCGAAGGTATCAGTTTTTTTTACTCACCCTGTACAGGGCCTGGTGTCCCAAGAAAACCAAAACTATTGAATGCCCTATAGCACTAAACAGAACGCAGAGATACGTAAAATATTGACTGAGTACATATGTTATAAATATTGACTTATTATAAGAAATTAAACTATCTTTGTAAAGCGCATGCGATTTTCTGCTCTTGGGAATTGAAAGCAGCTTCTTAATAAACAGTTTCTTTACGCATAAAATTTACTTGATGTCAATCTTTTATGCACTTGTGGGTCCAGTGCTGAGACATTCAAATTCTAACAATACGTTATTTCAATAGTTTTGGGTTTTTTTGGGGACACCCTGTATTACAAACTAATAGCATGACATGAGGGAGATTTATAGTGATTAAATGCCTCGAAGGCTCGGGAGGTTTGGAATTCCACCATAGATATCTTATATATACTAGATAGCGCATTTCTTTTAGTAAAATTGAAGCCAAGAATATTCCAGCGGTTACCCCCATTTGAATGGATGGCGGCCATGTTGGTCGTTCCCACTTGCTAATAAACGCTTAAAAACAAAAATAACTTTCATCATTTGAATAGTTTAAAAATGTATTTGGAATAGGGTTAACTTAATGTTTAAGTTCCCTGTTTAAGAAATAGAAAACATACGAATCTTCTCATTTCATGGGAACGACCTGAGACTGCAATCACAGCTTCAATTGTTGAATTGCAGAATAATTAGATGCACTATCTAGTGTATATAAGATATTATATAATACCTTATTGAATTCTGATCGTTTAATTGGCTGATTATGGTCACGTGATATTGAATAGAAAATTCCATTTCCCGAGAGTGCAATGGAATACGTTCCATTGCACTCTTGCGAGTGCAATTGTACTATACGTTTTATTCCATTGCACTTCTTTGTGTTTTCGATAAATCGCATCCGTCAAAATGCTTCTCGTACGGTGATTGCAGTTTATTTTATCCCGATATTCGAAACTTAGTTAATGGGATTTAATGCAAATACGACTCGTCAGAATGGCGGGAGCTTACAGTAAACCTTTTGATATTAGTCTATTTTGGTATTATATAAAACAAATAATGAATGTTTTTATTCGTGCAATGGTAAGAATATTTTCATTCGGTGAAAGATGGAATGTTCCATTCAACTCGGCTGTCGCCTCGTTGAATGGAACATTCCATCTTTCACCGAATGAAAATATTCTTACCATTGCACGAATAAAAACATTCATTATTTGTATATCTATGAATTCCACAAACCTCCCTCGCCTTCGGGGCATTTGATCACTAATCTCCCTCATGTCATGCTATTACTTATAATTATAAACTGATTGACCTCGATTATTTTATTTCGACAGCCTACCAAATACAATATACCTGAGTGTAGAGAAACAAGTGGAGCTTGGCTATCGTACTGCACAAGTGATGCCCTACAGTAACTACGCTCGCAAGACCATTGGTCACCTTTATGCAATACAACATGGTGCTGAAATGATCTACGAAACAGATGATGACACCCATCCATACAACAACACCATAAAATTCTTCCAAGAACAGAAAGGCGACTTTTATGTCTACAGCACGGATCGCGACACCGTAAACCCGTACGCGCACTTTGGTCAAGCTTCCATATGGCCTAGAGGTTACCCTCTAGAAAACATAGCCAACCCCCCTGTGTATACGTTTGTGAAGTGTAAAGATGCTAGAGCTCTCATACAGCAGGGGGTGGTGGATGGTGACCCGGACGTGGATGCAGTGTTCCGATTAACCCGTAAGGATGATGGTGTGCAACTGGACTTAAGGTTTGACCCTAAGGCTCCACCTATCTTGATCCCGCCAGGTGCCTACACGCCCTATAACTGTCAGAATACTCTTCATTTCAAAGATGCATTTTGGGGATTGGTGTTACCCCCCAGTGGTACACTTCGTGTTACTGATATTTGGAGATCATTCTATGTACAGCGACTGCTACAAGAAGTCAATGGCTATCTTGGTTACTTTGGACCTACTGCTTATCAGGTGATTATATTTTATGATCTACTCATTTCATTTTGCATGATATTCTCTGTTTAGGTTGGAAGCCAGATGTTGGGAGGCAGGTCGTCCATGGCCGTCTATTAAAAGGTGGCCGCCGATGTTCAAAAGTAGCCATCCTTAGGACGGTCGCGGGTAACAGTACATGTAACCCGTACAGACGTAAAACCCTGGTCAAACGAGAGTGCATGAGAGTTCCAAATCTTGTCAACCCTCATGCACTCTCGTCAACTTTGGTTCAAATTTTGATGAGCGTTTTCGCTCGTAATATCTGTAGCCAACTCTAGTGCAACTCGTTTGGCATAAATCTGCTCTTTTAGAAATGCTTCCTCTTATATTTTTACCCAACATCGCAAGGCAGGCTCTCTATTTCCACATGCTGGGGCAAAGAACTCCCAAAATCTGGGGGTTCACGTGACCAGCCGCAACCAAGGTCTTTGCCGTAGCATGTGGATGTAAAGAGCGTGGTGTATGAGGTTTGAGTTGACTGAGTTTCTCACTCATTGGTGAGTGGATTTCCCAACAGGCTATTGCCAATTGATAGGGGATCCGAGGAACCTACGATTTTAACGTCCTTATCCGAGAAGACGCGAAAGTCTAACCATTTACTGGTGTCATGTAAAGGTAGCACTTTCTCCTCAATTATTTTAAGATCTTGAGTAGAGTTCGGACCAAGGACTGAACCCAGGTCTTCTTGCTTGAAAGGCAAGCGTGATGATCATGCTTTACTAATACTCTTCTCTAACTTCCAGGTCCGTAATGCGCACAACTACCTCAGAGATTTCATAGACGAAGAAGAGCTGTACTACAAATCAGGTCGCTACATCTCCTATCTTGAGAAATGGAATGGAAGAGGTCTGGATTTCTTTAACCGTATGCTGAAACTCGCCATTGACTTGGTGGTGGAAGACATCTGGAAGCCTATAGATGCTGTTGTCGTGGAAGCATGGATCGAGGATTTGGTTAGTTTTGGATATGAACCACCCAAGCTGAGTACAACTCCTAAACCGTGCAAGCATATCATCGAAAACGCAAAAGAAATGAAGTTCCAGCAGCAACCCTCGTCGCATTTAAGAATTGGAAAGAAAATGAAAGAAATACAGAGCTTAGGTTAAGCTTCGGTCATGCAACAATGCTCGCAACGATGTTATCCGGTTTCCTGCAGTAACAATCAGTGATCATGTTGCTTGTGATGTTACTCGAGTGTATATCCACACCGGGCAAGCTTGAAAAATATGCCTGGCCACGGTGGGAATCGAACCTACGACCTTTGGAATACTAGCGGGATATACACTCAGAGTAACATCACAAGCGTCATATTCACCCGAGTACATTGCACCAACACAGAAAAAATAATCAGTGATCATTGTTAAAATTGTGGTGTGTTGTAGTCATAGGTGTAGCAATTTTTAATGTCGTCATGTTAATTGTAAAATGTGATCATGCTGTAACAATGTTTTCATAAGGGGCGGACCATTTGACGTTTGAGAGGGGGGAGGGGGTGGAAGATTCAATCTGTGCAAGAATTTTTTTCCGCCCAGGCGAACAAGACAGATATTTTTTCCTGTAAAAGTGCAGCGCAAGATATTTTTTTACCAATATATTTGGCGGCATGATCTTTTTTGCCTCTCATAATAACGGCTTACAGTAACTGAAGGCTTTCATATAGCTATCATCAGAGACGTAGCAGGGGTTTTCAGTCAGAGGAGGCCGAGAACTGAATCCCAAGAGGAGCCAAGGAATTTTCACTGTGCTTTATTTTATATGGTTATGTCTTAATGTTCTCC